TATCCCTAGTACCACGACCCCTTCTAAACCCAGCCTGGACTTCCGGCAGTTCTCTGCTGATGTGCTGTTCTAATCGTTTTTGGATGATCTTCAGCAGAATTACAAATTACAGTAGAACAAATTACAGAAGATTAAAGACTACTGCCATTAGTATGGATTACATCCCAACATCAAGAAAACAAGAATCTTAACCAATAGACAATATTAGAATAGATGGGAGAAAAGAAGTTTGTCAAAGATTTCATTTTACTTGCATTTATAATCAATACTCATGGTAGCAGCAGTCAATAAATCAAGACATGTTGCGCTGGAGAAATCTGCTGTATAGAACATCTCCATTTCTTAAGAGTAAGAATATCCGTTTAAAGACTAAGGTGCACCTGATCCAGTCTGTAGTATTGCTTCCTATGCTTCACCATACCTATACAAATCTGTATGCTGAGCAAATCATTTGTAAAACTGGACTTTATGGAGAAGAATATGGCGTCAAGATCAGAGAAAGATTCAACAATAACCTGTGTAATGCAGATGATACAACCTATCTTGCTGAAAGTGAGAACTTAAAAGACTCTAGCTTTCAATATTGACTGCATTTCAACATTTAAGAAGGCAAAAATACTTAGCACTGGACCAAGTGAGTAACATAATGATAGATGGAGCAAAGATTTGAAATTGTCAGTGATTTAACCTTGGATCTGCAGCATTCAGAAGGTCAGCAGACTTACTGTTCTGGGCAAGTCCACTGTCAGGGACTTTGCAGATTATTGAGGAGCAGTGATACCTGTTTGAAGACTAAGGTGTGCCTAATTCAAGCCATGGCCTTTTAAGCCATTTTTTATACATCTGAGAGCTGGGCAGTGAATATGAATGACAGAATATGAATTGATGCCTTTTGAGTTAGTTGTGTTGTTGAAGAAGAATACTGAATATCCTTTGGGTTGCCAAAACAACAAACAGGTATGTCTTGGGGAAAATGCAGCCAGAGTGCTCCTTGGAGGCAAGAATGGTGAAACTTAATCTCACATACTTTGAGTATGTTGCTAGGAGAGGCTGTTTCTTGGAAAGGGACATCATACTTCGAAAGGCAGAGCATCAGCAAAAGAGAAGGCGATCCTTAATAATACGGTTTGACACAGTGAGTGCAGCAGTGGCCTCAAGTGTGTCACAGATGAAGAGGATGGCACAGGTTAGGACAGGGTTCATGTCTTTTGTTCATGGAGTACTATGAGTCTTACTTGACTTGCCAGTACTTAACAAGAACACCTTATGCTTCTGAAAGTTGGGCAATGAATAAGGAAGACTTAAAAAAAAAGACGCTTTTGAATTGTGTTGACAAAAAATATTTGATATACCATAGATTGTCCAAAGAGCAAACCAATCTGTCATGGAGAAGGTTCAACCAACAGAGGCAAAGATGGGTGAAACTTAATGTTACATACTTTAGTCATATTGTCAGGAGGGACCAATCTTTGGAAAAAGAAATGATGCTGGGAAAGGTAGAGCGTCAGAGAATGAGGTGGACCTTAAAAGAGATGGATTGACACAGTCCCTTTAACAATGGGATCAGGTGGCCTCGTGGCAAGAAGCTGCACTGCCATCCGAGGGTCACCTGGTTTGAGACCACGAGCTGCACTGTGGAGGATAGGAAATGTCCTACCGTGCAGTTAACTGCCTCTGAAAACCTACTAACGGGTGAGCTGTGGGTCACTTCTGACTCCACAGTACACAACGATAGCTGAGCATGGCAGAGATGACGAGAATGGTGCTTGAATAGGGTAAGGTTCTGATGCGTAGTGTTCGGTAGTGTTAGTCACCTTGTTACTAACCTTGTGCTTAATGGTTATCTGTATGTCTTTGTGCTGTGACGATCATGTACTTTGCACATTTAAAAAAATGCCTTTGATTTAGATTTGTAGGAAATCTCTATATAGTTTTACAGAAAATACTTTTTTCAGATGTATGCATATATTATGGACATTTTCTCCAAACTCTAGCTTGTCATTTGATAAGCTGATAATTAAATTTTAATTTTGATACATTAAAAAAAATTTGTGTTGACTACCTTTTGAGACAGAGAGAGTGATGTTACAAGCCCAAAGACTGTGTTTTTCTAGTGGTTTGACATCTGTCAGCTACTCAGCTGGAGAAAGAGGGACAGTCTCTTCCCTTGTGATTTACAGCCTTGGAAACCCTATGTCAGAACTGGCTTAATGTCAGTAAGAAAGCGAGTGAGCTTTGGGATTCTATCTAAAATACCATGTCCTACTCTGAAAACCAGCTGTTTTCCTAGCTTTGCCTTGTCAAGTTTAGGGTTTATCTGGAAATACTCTTGGTGTGTAGGGTGAGGTAGGGCTTATGCTTGGTTCATTTTCCACTAATGTTGAGTCAATTTAGTATTTTCTGTTGAAAAGTCTTACCTTTCCAATAGACTGTGGTGCCTTCGGGAGTGAACTAATGTTTTATTTGTGTGATCTATTATTAATTGTTCCTATGTAATTATACAGAAAACCATGAATTGGATAATGTCCTTCCAACTCTTTCCCTCCCTCCCTCCCTTATATTTTGGCTATTTTAAGGTCTTTGTATCTCCTTATGTATTTTATAATCAGTTAAATGTTTGCTAACACACACACACACACACACACACACACACACACATATAAAATCGCTGAATTTTGTATTTCGGCCTTATATCTTGTGATTCAGCACTTGTTCGTTCTGTTAGTTCATTTATTATTTGTACTAGTTTTATAAAGAACTCTGGTGGCCTGATAGTAAGAACCGAACTGCAGTCCCAGAGGCACACAGTTCGAATCCACCAGCTGCACTGCAGGAGAAGGATGAGCATTCTCCTCCTATGTGATTAACTTAACCCCGAAGATCTGCTGAGGGTCAGCTATGAGTTGATTCGGACTCAATGGCACGCAACAATAGTTGTAGATATATTTGATGATTTCTTATAGTCATATGATCAATGAATAAAAAGAGTGATTAACTTATTCTCTTAACCTTTATCTGTTTTTTTCCTTCCTGATGCAGTTTCCCAGTGTCTCATAGAGCTAGTTTTAAAGAACAGAAATTTATCTGCTTTACCCAAGGCCAACTGATTTATTCACATATAAATAATGTCATTCCATGACAGCAGCTAGATTATTAGTGTTTGGTTAACCATAGTGGTCTCTCCCATGCCTTTATTATCATTAGATAATATCGGAAAATGTTGAATACAAGTAATGAGAATGGACATCTTTCTTAGTTGGAATTAACGTCATATTTTACTGTTATATATATTTTTTCTGTAAGCTTTTTGTAGATTTTTTTAAAAAATTGGAGTAAGTTACCTTGTTGCAGTTTCTGGGCTTGTATGAAGAGTGGATATTTATTAAGTCATTTATGTGGCTTTTGTTCAAATACGGTAAATTTTATAATTGATTTTAGAATATTAAACTAACCTTGCATAGACATTAGTAGTGTTCTGCAGAAAGCAGTATGACCAGTACTGTTAGGTATATTTAAAGTAATAGTTTTAACAGTGTAACGAATACACTTTATTGTTTCAGCTGTTTTTGTTTTTTAAATACTATTGCTTTTTTTTCTCCCCCCACTTCTGCATTCATTTTAGGATTGTTTTATTCTTCTCAGGTATATGGAAAACATGTATCTTACATTTTTCCAGAAAAATCAAGACTAAAATTATACTTGAAGAAAATTAAATACAAACTATCCTTGGGCCAGACAAGTCTAGAACTCCCCTTTGGATTCCATTTGGGAGTCTGTGGTTTGTGCTGGTAGTTTTTAGTATCCTAATAGGTTTCCTACCTTCATTGCAGAATAGTATCTATCTGCAGGAGGACTCAGCCATTTTGGAATCTTCTTTTTCATTTCTGGCTGGTGTTTATTTTGCCTTGTTAGATGCAATTTTGTGAATTATTTCATTGATTCCTCAGTTTGTAGTTTTGTCTAACCTTGCCATTGTTGTTTTGTTTGAGACTTTAATGATGTATCTTGATATGGATAGTTTTGTCTATTTTAAAACTGATGCTTTAATGACCAATGCCTTCTAGAAGAAACTGAACAAAAATAGTGCTTGTAAATCAGTAAGGAAGGAGACGTTTAATTGGAATTTTAAAAACTTTTCTAGGCTAAGTGCAATTTATGGAGGTACCTACATGTTGAATAAGCCAATTGAAGAAATCATTGTGGAAAATGGAAAAGTGGTGGGTGTAAAATCTGAAGGAGAGGTGAGTAGCTTTTGTAAAAAATATATTGTGTTCTAACAAAGAAAAGCTTATTATTTAGTAAGTACTTATTTTGGTTTCCAATATTGATGCTAGATTCCAGAGTTCATAGAATTTTTTTATAGTAAACTGGGATTGTATTGACAAACAACTAATTAAGAGATCCTTTATTTTTAAAAACCTATAGATTGTAATACTTGGTGTTGATCATTGATTATGGAGGAGTTCTAAGTCTTATGTAATATGAGTGACTTCCTCCTAGATTTTCATTTAAAATGATCTTTATGTGAACTGGGTGCTCTAGCTCTGATGGTTTATCACCACATATGAATTTATTAATTGAAAGCTTTGAGTCTGACTGTACAGAGTCCACCAGTAGTTCCATGGGAGAAAGATGAATAGTTTCCTCCTGTTTTTATTTACAACTTTGCTGTTTGTGAGAGCTGACTTAATGGCAGTGAGGTGGATTTTTTTTAATTGTATTACTTCTTTTATTGTTGGCATTAGGCTTGACTAGTATTGAACATTTTATTATGTAATACTGCTTTCTTTTATTGTTCACAAATAAAAAATAATTTGCACATGCATATAACCTGCATAGGAAACAAATGTACTAGGGGCCTGTTTGGAAAACATGTAGATTGTACATTGTTTGCATAAAAAATGAGGTCATTGTGGAGGTAGTTATCCACAGAAGTGGAGTTTTTGACAGTGTTTCTCCATTTGGGGAATCCTGTTCAAGTGCATGTTCTGACTGAGTATGTCTGAGGCGACTGCAGTTTATTGCCGTTTCCCAGATGATGCCAGAGCTGCTGTTCTAGACACCGTACCTTACAGCAAATACTAAAGATGAAACCATCATTCTTTCCCTTTTATCTCCAAAATGCTTCTTTGCTATTTGATTTAGTTGTTACCCTTAGTTATTTTAAAGACAGAAGTGTCCCCGATGCAAACTATGGTATTTTCATTTTCACCTGCTTCCTATGCATCTGAAGTTGTACAATGAATAAGGAAGACCAAAGAAGAACCTGTGCCTTTGAACTGTGGTGCTGGTGAGCAATATTGACAATACCATAGACTCAGATGTGCCTTGAAAGAAGTGTGACCATAGAACTCCTTAGAGGCAAGGATGGTGAATCTTTGTCTTACATACTTTAGGCATGTTGCCAGGAGCAGCCAGTCATTGGGAAGAGATATGCTGGAGATGCAGAGGATCATGAAAGAAAGACCCCTAATAATGACAATTTGTACAGTGACTGTAACAATGGGTTGAGCATGACTGAGATTATGGCAGTAAAACATGACAAAATAACATTCAGATCTGTTGTTCATAGAGTCACTATGACTCATAGTTGACTTGACAGCGCCTAACAGCCACCTTCACCCTTCTTTCAGTACAGATGCTCTCTCAAATCCTACTTTTAAAATATTTCTCTTTTTAAATTGGGGGGAAATCCCAAAACAACCAGCTATGCTTGATAATTTTTCACCTGAAACACTGAACTGAGAAGGTATAATCCTTCTCAAGGTATATGTTCTCAGTTCTCGAAATCTCATTGGAAGTGAAGATTTGAGATCCTTTTTTTGGTAGCTGGTTTAAAAGGATGCATAAAGGAGAGAAAATTACAAAACTGGCCTAGTGCAAAAAGAACCTGATAAGGAATCATCCATCATGTTCTATGCATTATCTCATTTATTGACTACAACCAGCCTATGTTAAGAATGAGGTTAGCATTGAAAAACAAGGAACTCATTCAATATTATTCAAAATGGGTGAGCCTGGAGGACATTATGCTGAGTGAAATATCTCAGTCGCAAAAGGACAAATATTGCATGGTGCCGCTGCTGTAAAATGGGACTAATATCAGGGTGGGGGTAAGACTGAGAAAAATTGGATAAATTGTGTATACTGCACTGAAACAGATGAGGGACTGAATAATTTAAAAGTGATGTATGATAGGGTATTATGGTTATCACAAGAGTCCACATTTAAGGTTGCATAGTGGAATGTACTTGGGGCAGTGGGAGGGGTGCGGGGGGATTGTGTACCAGGGAGGGAGTCTTTCTTTTACATTTGAAAGAGAGGAGCGAACTGGGGGGCGGGGGGAGAGGGCTGGGCGGGGAGAGAAGTGCAGCAATGAATGAATGGAAATCCAAATTCTCTGTAAATGTTCATTAAAATTATTTTAAAAAAAAAAGAATGAGGTTAGATAAAGAAAGTTCAAAAGATGCACAGTGATGTGTGATTATGAGGTGGAATTTCAATGAAAGCATTTAATTCTCACAGCCATCAATTGCAGTCCACCTTGGGATCAAATTAATGTAGGAGGATGTTATGTGCCTTTGAGTTGTAGTCATAGCTAGCTACCTTATGTCTGATACACCCCAATTGTTGCCAGGTCCTGTGCCATCCTCCCAATTGTTCTGTTTGAGCCTCTGTGTCAGTCCATTTTGTTGGGGGTCTTTTTTGTTACTAATCAATACTATAGCAAACATGATAACCTTCTCCTAATAACATGGCCAAAGTATGTGGTAGAGTCACACCATTCTTACTTCACATGAGCATTATGGCTGTACTTCTAAGATAGATTTGTTTGTTTGGTGGTGTATTTGTGTTTTGTGGTTTTTTTTTTTTTTGGTTGGTCTTGTTAGGTGCCACTGACTACGACACGTAGCATAGTTGTGACAAATTTTTTGTCAATACCATAGTTCAAATATATCAGTTCTTCTGTCTTCATATTCATTGTCCAGTTTTCACAATTTATTTGAGAGGATTGAAGATATCATGGTTTATGCCACAAAGAGGTTTTCTGCAGCAGATTTTCCCAGTACAATATGCCAGATCTCTTGATAGGTATTTTTACATTTAAATATTATCATGGGATCTTTACCTTCATTTTAAGTGTGTATTTTCTGACTTACCACTAAACAATTTCCTTATAAGTCCCTTTTCATCTTGCCTTTGTCATTGTGGCTTATCTGTTTTAAATAAAAAGGAAAGCATAAGATTTTATAGTAATGCCAGTTTAACACTAAAGAGCAATATAAAACTCCATCTCACTGGTGAGTCAGGTCTGAGGAAACAGATTGCCGCCTAAGCAGACCTCCCCTTTCTTCCTTAGAGCTGCTAGTGGGCAGTTCAAACCGCCGGAGATGTCCAGTCTTTGGGTTAGCAGCAGAATCTGCTACCAGCTAGGCCGTCAGAGCTCCTTGGGAAACAGTTGTCATCACATCACTATCTATCATCTTGGTGTGGAGCACCTCTCCCTTCACAGCATTTATTTTTCCCAAATTATTTTATGAAATAGGGATTGATAAAAACTTCATTAAAATTATAGTAAGAGTTTGAACATATGAAGTCTTTATAGAATGTAAAATTTGGGAGATAAAAAGGATAATCCTCTTTTTGTAAAACAAAATAGGCCCATTTTCTTGGTTTTATAAAATAGTGTGATGTCTTTCCTGTGAAACAATTTTTGAGAATACTGTATTTTTTGTCTGTAAAACTATATTGTTCACTATATCTTAAATTTAAGGAAGTTAAAAAGAATACTGTCATGTAATCTGAGAGTTTCACTATAATTAGTCTAATATGCCACTGTCCATTAACATTAATCTTCTGATTCATGTAGTAAGATTGAAACATTTATTCCTCTTTGCCCTTACGGATGGAAATGTTTTTATCTGTACTTATTGAAAGCTAAAATTGGTCTATATAAACAGCCATTGGAGGGGAGCTCTGGTGGCCTAGTGGCAAGAAGCTGCACTGCAATCCCAGAGGAACATGGTTCGAATCCACCAGACGCTCTGCCGGAGAAGGAGGCGCAAAATCCTCCTGTACCAGTCAGATCTGATTTGCCGGTACACGCACACAAAATTTAAAAAAAAAAAAAAACAGCCATTGGGAATCTGGACTCTGTGTAGCAGAACGTGGCTTCAGGATCAGAGGAACCTGTGTTATGCACATGACACACCTTGCTTACCCAAACTGAGGAGAACTTGAAGTGTCTCCTGCAGGAGCAGCTTGCAATATGGACTGCATCTCAACATCAAGAAAACAAAGATTTTTTACAAATAGGACAACAGGAAATGAGACATGAATAAAATGATTGAGGTTGTTAATGTTTTCATCTTGGTCAAATCCACATTCAAATACTCTTGACACCAGTAGTCAGGTAATCAAAAGATGAGTTGCTATGGGAAAATCTGCTGTCAGACCTCTCAAGAAGGCTAAGGAACAACGATGTCAGTCTAGAAATTAAGGTGTGCCTAATCCAGGCCATTGTCTTCTCGGTTGTTTATTGTACATCTGAGAGTGAGGTGACAGTTAAGGATGACAGAAGAGTTGATGCCTTTGAGTTGTGGTGCTGGATAAGAGTACTGAACAGACCATGTACTGCCCAGAGAACACAGAAATCTATCATGGAGGGTGAAACCAGGTTGCTCCTTCCAGGCAGTGATTCTCTCACATACTGGACATGTTGTCAAGAAAGGCCAGTCCTCAGAGAAAAAAAATGGTTGGCATGGTAGAGGGTCAGTGCAAGAGAGGAGACCTTGGAAGACACTGATTAACACAGTACTTACGGTAGTGGGGTCAGGTTTGTCAGAGACGGGTTGGCTCAAGATAGGACAGAGCTCAGAGCTGCTGTTTGCTATGAGTTGTAGTTGACTTGATGGTCAACTACATAACAAGTCTTGCTTGACATAACAAGTCTTAAATACTCTTGTAAGATACAGTACTTTGGGCAGAGCAATTAGAAAAGTTGAGGATGACATTCCTCATTATTTCATCCTTCACACTGATTGAACCATTCTCTTATTAATGACTGTTGTGGTCATTAAGATCCCATTGTATGTTTTCTCACCCCCATCCTAGCCCTTTTGGGAAAATGTCTACTATGAAAGAATAAATAAAGCAAAACCTAAATGTGTGTATGTATTCCTGGTGCTATGCAAAGGATACTAAGAACCATATGCTTTCCTTTAGCTAAGTGGCCATCTCAACCCTTATTATTGTGCAAGTCTACTGTAACAACCTTGTGTTAAAAAGGATAATAGAGTTTAACATACTAAAAGAGTTTTAGCATAATAGAGTTTACCATATTAGAGCATAATAGAGTTTAGGAGATAATACTTTTATCTGCTATCACAAAGGGGTTTTTTGAATTGTAGAATTTCCTTTTATGTCTTTTTTCCTTAGGAAACTTTTGATATAAAACTCGGGTTTTGATATGAAATTTATATTACTATCTAGCAGCTACCATTTTACTTGGAAAACACAGTCTTAAGCAAAATCATGATTTTGATCTGTTGAAATAAGATTTGAAGTCCATGTATCGGAGAGTTGCTGGCAAGGCTAGTTTGAGTCGTAATCTGTAAGAACTATCTAGAGTTGTACTTACTAGATTAATGAAGTTAGTAATTATTTTCTAGGGAAATTGGCATCAATTTACTGTTTTAAAATATCAGGGACACTGAACATTAAAGTCCTTTTTAATTGTTTTGTTACAGATCGCTCGTTGTAAGCAGCTCATCTGTGATCCCAGTTATGTAAAAGATAGTGTACAGAAGGTAGGCCAAGTGATAAGAGTTATATGTATCCTAAGTCACCCAATCAAGAATACCAATGATGCCAACTCATGCCAGATCATTATTCCACAGAACCAAGTGAATCGAAAATCAGGTGAGTTTTGAGGACCAACAGATGTCTGTACAATTTTGGTAGAATAATTTGCTTTGAAATTATATGCTTTATTGCTGTACAGAGACACAAGAAACAAAATACTATCATTTTTGAATTGTTTAGCCAGTGAAACTTGACTAGGAGTCTAGGTTCTTATGCTGCCTTTTACTTTTGTGCTTAGTCACATACCTATTTTTTGTCGTTTTTTTGTTTGGTGGGTTGTGGTTGGGTTTTTTTTTTTTGTTTTTGTTTTGTTTTTTAGTTTACAAAAAGTTGGATATTCATTATTGCACATATTCCTCCATTCCCCCTACTATCCACTTTGCAATGTGCATGTTACTCTGGACTATTGTCATACATGCAGTGCCTAATCATGTTTTCCTTTGAAACAGTTCTTTGTTTCATCTGTTATAATTCAGTGTTCATTATCTATCCACTCTTTTCCTAGTCTCCCCCCAAAACACCCATGTCAGTTCTGATTTATAACAGTGGTGTTAGGCATTCATCCTTTTGACTATTTCACTCAGCAAAATGTCCACCAAGGTCACCCATTTGTGTAATGTTTTACAAGTTTTTCAGTGCTGCATAGTATTCCATTGTGTAAATAGACTATAGTTTTTCCTATCCATTAGTTTGTAGATGGACATTAGGGTTCCTTCCATCTCTTTGCTATTGTGAATAAGGCAGCAATAAACATGGGTGTACATATATCTCTTTGGATGGTGGTTATGGTTTCTTTTAGGGTATATTCCCAATAGTGGAATTGCTGGGTCAAATGGTATTTCTATTTCCAAATTTTTGAGAAAGCACCAACTGCCTTCCAAAGTGGCTGTACCATTTACACTCCCAATAGCAGTGAATAAGGGTTCCAATCTCTCCACAATCTTGCCATTATTTGTTGTTTGCCACTCTGTTGGACTTGGCTTTGTTTTTGGGGTGAGATGATACCTTATAGTTGTCTTGACTGTCATCATTTGTTGTTGAAATGAAACTTTCCTTATCGTCTTTCCATCTCTGGTGACAACAGTCAGTCCATCTGGTTAAGGGTCTTTCTTTCACTGACCTTTCCCAGACTGGTTCTTTCTGACAGAGTGCCCTGAGTATTTGAGAAGTTTTACTCTTTTTCTCTAAAGAGCCCACTTTCTCCAAGTTAGATTTGTGCTTTTAGCTGTCCATGTTGTGTATCTTAAAGTTGGAACCAACCCATAGCTGACCCTCCTGTGGGTTTTCATGGGAAATTAATCACACAGGAGGAAGTTGCTCATATTTCTTCTATGGAGCGTCTGATGGAATAAAACCTTTATCTTTGTGTTGGCAGTGCCATTCCTTATTATTTAACCACCAGAGCTCGCATGGGCTATCCCAATACCACAATTCAAATACATTCATTTTTCTTTGCTCTTATTGTCTGTGAGATGCATATTAACCACTAGAGTTCCTTAAAGTTTCACTTATCTGAAGTTTTGTATTACTTTACTAAACCCTTTTGTAGCTTTGGCTAAGCTTGTCATACTATGGCACAGATATGAAGGGTCCAGTAATTAATTCATGGCCACCTAAACCTATAACTATTCTATATGAGTCTTTTAGCCTCCATACAGATTTTAAGCTTAGATGGTACTGCCTATTTCACATGGAACGCAAGTGTACAAATGTTTAAGGATTACCAACATTAGGAAGTAACAATTTCACTTCTTTTTAGATATCTATGTTTGCATGATTTCTTCTGCACACAATGTGGCAGCACAAGGAAAATATATCGCCATAGTTAGTACAACTGTGGAAACCAAGGAACCAGAGAAAGAAATCAGACCAGCTTTGGAACTCTTGGAACCAATTGAACAGAAGTAAGTGATGTATTCATATTAAAATCAACTAAATTACAAACTTAAGCCTTTGATTTTGTCTCCTTTATGGAGTAGACACCAGAATAATAAAGCAGCCATAGGCTGCTGTGTGTGATCCTGATTTTAAAGACTATCCCTACCAGTCTTTATCCATTGGGTTTTGAAATTCAAACAAAGCAGTGGTTTATACTAACTTGCCTAATTGTTTTCCCCTTCTAGATTTGTAAGTATCAGTGACCTCCTTGTACCAGTAGATTTGGGAACAGAAAGCCAGGTGAGTGTGGAGACAAGTTAATATTTTCAGGCTTTACTGGGGAGAGGACATCCCTAAATATTCATAAGCCTTTGCCACTCTATTTTCAGATTTTTATTTCCCGCACTTATGATGCTACAACTCACTTTGAGACAACCTGTGATGACATTAAAGACATCTATAAAAGGATGACGGGATCAGAGTTTGACTTTGAAGAAATGAAGCGCAAGAAAAATGACATCTATGGAGAAGACTAACAGCAGTACTTACTTATTAGCTAATCAGAACAAATTTGAAATTTGGCAAATAATGCATATTGTATGAAATCAATATTCTAAGGCCTGCTTTTATAATCAAAACTGAAAGATTGGAGAGAGTACTACACCAATAAAATATCCCTCCCCTTTATCTCTTTAATATCATGTATTAACTTTTCATGGAGTGGCTGTTCAGAATTGGCCAGTTACCATATTCTGTTTAACAAGTAATACCCCTGCCTCTGCCAAAATCAGTTTTTAAACATTGTGATACTGATAACAGAGATCTCGATACAGTATATATTTTAATCAGTGTAGCCTTTGCAGTTATGTGCTTCTGCTGTTCAAGAGCTGTATCAGTACATTTGTGTGCCATGTGCTCTTAACATAAAGGAGATTCTAAATTTAACATTCTGTTATTATGGGTGGGGCAGTATTCCTAATGTTTTCCATGTCACTACATTTGGTGTCATTTCAGGTATTAAGACAGTGCCCAAAGTGCTTAGCCACAAATTTGGTCTATGTGGGCACAGAATTCTAACCAAACTCCTGATTTAGGGGGTCATTTGGGGGAAGCTTGTCTGACTAATGGCTCCATACAGTTTTAATCTAATAAAACTGGTGAGAGAAAAGGGTAAAGTAACCTATCATCAAGCAGGTGAACAGTCGAAGCATCTTTGTATCCCAGGGGTGGCTTCTTCACTGGACCAAGCTGCAATGCAGTATTGATTTGACAGAGCCTAAGCTTTAGTGATGCCTCTCTCAGAATGGCTCCAAATGATTTCTGTACTGCAAAATAAAGCCAACTCTGGAAAACCACTACCCTGCCCTATTGGCCTTTTTGTGTCTTAATCATTTAAAAATTAATTAGGCACGGCAGTAGCTCAGTGCTATTAAATGTATCTTCAACAGAGCTGAAAACTTTATACTGCACATGGCTAGTAGCTAAGAGTATGGACATACTTCTCACTGGATGGTTTAAAAAGCAACTGCCACTGGCTTCACTGTTAAGTATACCCCAAATTATATTCTTAACACTGTAATAATAATTACACATCTTTTCAGTCATGCTTTCAAGTAATTTATTCTATATTTAGAAGTAAGTTTTACTGGAAAAGTCTTGTCTCACTGTATATAAGCTATTGTTTACCACAGATGAATAAGGACATTTTAACTATTTTCTTAGACTGAATAGTGAGACTAACTATTTGCTTAAAGAAAAATTTTTGCTTTTTCCCACCCTCACATTCTTTGAACTCTGGGTGGCATAATTCTTTGCTGTAAAGTAGGATGTTTCACAGCTTCTCTGGCTCTACTTCCTAGATGTCAGCAACATCTCCCTAGTAGTATTAACCAAATATGTGCCAGACACTTTCAAGTATTCCCATTGTTTAAGCTACACAATGAAACTAAAATTCAGCAAGCTTTTCCCTTTTCATACATAATCCTTAAAAATTATGAACTAGAAAAGTATTTTCATACATGCATACTACTCAGTTTATTACTGACACTTATGTGCCTGGTCAGTAGGTACTGTGACAATTAGGCACAGTCTCAAGAACAGTTAGAATTAATGTTGGCTATGGAAATGGAAGATTATGGATTTTGGAAGACTTTCGGGGAGAAAAGAAATAAGAACATTTAAAAGCAGTAAGTGCTGACAGGTAGCTAAGTACTTAATGTTTCCTTTTCCTTAGTAAATTATAATTAATTCAGCATAAATAAACCAAGTACATTTATGGCCTTATTTATTCTTATAAGGAAGCCTGGCAGTTTGGTTGGCTCTGCCATTGGTTTGACTCCAGGCAGCTAAGCTGCTCTGCAGAAGAAAAGTGAGGTGGTCCATGTAGATAAAGATTCATTCAGAGCCTTGGAAACACCCTTTCATTTAAGGGTCACTGGGAGCTGGAACCAACTAACCAGAAGTGGGTTTTGGCAGCTGACCTCATGGACAACAAGAGGGTGAAAAATTAACAAGTTCCTATGCAAATATATAGTACCAACTATAGTAGCAAAGCACCAGTCCTTCTGAGACTTAAAAATTTCATTTAGTAGAGAGGAATTATCTACGAAGTGGACAGTTTGACTTAAGTCTCCATATATAAGTCATTAATAAAACCTCTTAAGAATGAGTGAAAAATTACTTAAGATTTCCTTTATCTGAGTTAGTGAGGTAATGGTGTCCCAGACGCAGTGGGCAGGTCTATGGCAATGACAAACAGCAAGGCCAAAGCAACAGAAATGGGTCACTAAATAGCCTAAAATTAGTTGTGGTGGAGTTAATACAAAAACCACTGAATGATTTTTTCCCCCAGATGTCTTTATTAAAAAAGAAAACAAATTTTGTTTTAAAAAAAAAAATCTTTGTTCCAAATAGATACTACAAATTTTTTTTTTGGCTTGGCTTTGAGTTTTAAAGGTTACTGTAAAAATTATTCCTAATACCATAAATATAAGATTTATTCCTCAAGGTTGATTGTGAAAAATGACAATTTAGAAATCTGTACCATTAGAGAAAAAGGTTTTGTAGTGTTAAATGTTGTTTGAATAATAGCAAATGAATTAGTATATAATTACAGTTTTTACAAAAGTGGTAAAACTTTCAAAACAAACCATTATGTGCATTATTATTATATATACCATACTGGTATGGTTTAACTTTTACTTCAACTAAGTAAACCATAAATTTAAATATTATTTAGTTCAGTAGCTCTGAAGGCATTCTGTTTAAAATGAAAATAATAACTGCAACCCAGCTCTGTGCCACTGTGAAGTCAAACATTTTTCCAAAATAAAGAAAGAAAGCATTTCTTACGTAAAACATTTCATTTTTAAAAGTTTTCAAATAAAACAGTTCATATTGTATTTCAAAATTGACAGTTCATATTGTATTTCAAAATTTTCCAAAGAAAAGTGAAAATACTAATTTGTTGATCTTGCCATCCATGTTTTGAAAGCTGCAGTTGAATCACCTGGATAAACAAAATTGACAATAATTGCATCTTCCAAGAATTACTATAAATGGCTTTGCTTACTATAAGGCCAGGAAATACGGGCCAACTAAAACCATAACACATCTTTAGGTTAAAAATGAGTAACTGATACTCAAATACACAGTTTATACCAGACTTTCAGTATACAGAAATTATGCCCCATTTTTTTATATAGCATGATCTAGAAGGTAAAGAATTTTAAAATAATTTGTTGCTGTCATAGATGCCCACCCAAGACCTGCTAACAGTTCCACTAAAGTGGAAGAGGTAAAGGTATTCTTACCAATAGCTACTCCTAAATGGAGTTGCTACTTTTTGTATATTTTCAATGAAGTTATTTACATCTGTAACAAGAATTCCACTGTTTTCAAATACTTCTCTGAAGACTGTAGGTTTGTCTGTAAAAAGGAAATAAAAGATATTTTAAAACACCAAAACCTTTCATTAAAAAAAAAAAGTCTTGCGTGGACTAATATAAATGAAAAGGTGTCTAATTCAAGTTACACAATCTGGTACTTCCAGCCACATTGTCAACAGTTACAGTCATTGCTTTACTGGGAGAAGCCTGAACAGAATTCACACAAAATATGACACAGCTAAGAAAAAAATTCGATAAATACTGGTAGGAGTTGATTAAGCCTAATGGAAAGAACTAGATCAGGACTCTTGACAGATAAAACTCACATGTAAAACTCTTCAATCCCAGTCTTGGGTAGAATTTTCAAAATTTGGGTTAAAAGTTTACTCTTGGTTTCCAGTAGTTGGACAGATTCATCTTAGGTACTCAATGCTTGGGAGGGACATTTCTAGAACTGACCTTTCAGCTGAAAGTGAATGTGAGGTAGAACTTGTGCTGTGAATTTACCTGTTAGGAAGACAGCAAACCTGGCTTCAATGTGCTGAATTTGCAAGTTTAACAAACATTTCAAGTTTTCCGCTTTTCTTGAGGAACGAGAATCGCACTGGTGATAATGAAGAAATTCAATTATATTTGCACTCTGAGAGGACTTCACTATTAAGTTCTTTTTATGGGCAATTGAATCCACTCTGGAAAATACACAAAAATATTAATCAAATTAAGATTCTATATATAATGACAGTTAATTTTCTACTAAATCTTAGCTTTCAATTATTTCTAAATTGTCTTTACTACTTAACACTCTTAACACATTTTTGTAAAAACATTGAAACTTCTGAGTTTCCCTTTTGACATTCTACTTCGACACAATTGGCCTCCTAATTGGTAGCATCACTGTTCTATAGATGAGAAGTTAATGGGCATAAACATGACTTTCAAAGCACAAACTAATCAGCTTCAATCAGCAAATACTGAGCATTATGGCATGTGTTATAGGAAAAAAAGATGTGATAAAAATCCTTTAAAAATTTTTCAGAAATTCTTCTAACTGTAAATAATAATATTCTGTTCTTATTTTAAGTGTGAAATACATAACAAGGAATAGCAGCAGATACAGGGCTAAAGATAATGTGCAAGTATTTCTAGTGTGTATGTGCACATCGCTTTATTTACTTGAATGAAAACTGAGTCATGAAATGATTTATGTACTTGATCTAAGCTTTGTGCATGCATGCTGATCTGAAAAACGGTATTTTTCTATTCAAGATTACCCACCTGCTACTACTGTCCTCAGCTGTGGCCATTAGGAGGAGGTCTTTTCCTCCCTCTGAATCAAGGTGGTGGTGCTTCAGATAAAATCTAATTTTTCATACTTTCCCTGACAATTCTTTTCTGGATTCTTAATACACATAATGAAACCATTATTCTAAAGATACCAAAATAAATCAATCATTCTACTTTAATAGCACATGATTACCTATGTCCTAGGACAATCGAAATAAATCTTAATGAACCACATAACACTTAGTCACATTCAAGGAATGTTTTCAATATCAGTAATTCTTAGAAGTTTGAAGAGCCCCCCGCCTAAGATCTGCTCTGAGGACAAACTGCTCTGACAGTATTTGTGTACCAATGAATTGCTTTAAACATCACAACTATAATTTCTCTTTATATTAATAAAGATTTTTGGGAGCTCTGGTGGCCTAGTGGCAAAGAGCTGCAACTACAATCCCAGAGGCACACGGTTCGAATCCACCAGATGCTCTGCCGGGGAAGGAGGGACAATCTCCTCCTGTACCAGTCAGATCTGATTTGACGGTCCACACACACACACACACACACACACAGATTTTAAATTCCAAGCAAGAGATCTCATATGTAAGTACAGAGTTACCATCTAATTTTTTATTGGAAAGTCTGATCCATTTCCTGTGGACCATACTATACCATATATATAAAACAAGGGACCCATACCTTTCAGTCCAACCCTCATGTTTTGATCAGATCACTTCTAATTTCTTGAAAATTATGAAAGGAAAACAACTTTGAGATATCATCTCACCCCGTCAGAATAGCAAAATTTAACAGAACAGCAAGCAACAAATGCTGGCGAGGTTGTGGAGAAACTGGAACCCTTATTCACGGTTGGTGGGAATGTAAAATGGTGCAACCATTGTGGAAGGTGATATGGCGCTTTCTCAAAAAGTTGCAAATAGAGATACCATTTGACCCAGCAATTCCACTACTGGGAATATATCCCAAAGAGACCATAACTGACATCCAAGCAGATATATGCACACCCATGTTTATCGCAGCTTTGTTTACAATACCAAAGAGTTGGAAGCAACCTAAGGGCCCATCAACAAATGAATGGATAGAGAAGCTGTGGTATATCCACACAAAGGAATACTATGCTGCATTGAAAAACAAGGAACTCATGAAGTATTATTCAAAATGGGTGAGCCTGGAGGACATTATGCTGAGTGAAATATCTCAGTTGTAAAAGGACAAATATTGCATGGTGCCACTGCTGTAAAATGGGACTGATATCAGGGTGGGGGTAAGACAGAAAAATTGGATAAATTGTGTATACTGCACTGAAACAGATGAGGGACTGAATAAAAGCGATGTATGATAGGGTATTATGGTTATCACAAGAGTCCACAATTAAGGTTGCATAGTGGAATGTACTTGGGGCGGTGGGAGGGGTGCAGGGGGATTGTGTACTAGGGAGGGAGTCTTCCTTTTACATTTGAAAGAGAGGAGCTACCTGGGGGGTGGGGGGAGAGGGCTGGGCGGGGAGAGAAGTGCAGCAATGAATGAATGGAAATCCAAATTCTCTGTAAATGTTCATTAAAATTAATAAAAAAAATTATGAAAGGAATCCCAGTTTGTTAGCTTCATGTTGTTAATGTGCCACTGAGTCACCTGTGACTCAGTGCCTCAAGTACATCAGCTCTGAAAACTGCCCTATCCTAAGCCAATCTCATCGTCTTTAACACACCTAATCCCATTATTTCAATCACTGTATCACTCCAGCTCATGCTGGGTCTTCCTCTCCTGCACTGTCCCTCCACTCTTCCAAATGTGATGTCCTTCACCAAGGACTGATCCCTCCTCCTGCTATGTGCCTCTAAGGAACAAACTGATTTCACACTCTCTGAGACAGACCTTTTGTTCTCTGATGGTCCACAATATGTTCAACATTTTTCTACAGCACCACAACTCAAGGGCATTGATCCTTCTTCTGACATCCTTAGTTATTGTCCAGCTCTATGATGCATAGTAAGTAACTGCCAAGACCATGGCCTGAATTATCTTTCTCCAAACTCTAGTGATAAAAATGTTACTAACAATGGTGGCTGTCCTTCTAGGACATTCCCTTAGCATATATAAACTTCAAGATCAGAATCATAGTGTACACAGTTTTTGACAGGGACTTTTTTTATCTTCCTCTTCACTGTGCACAGGATTTTTTTTTTAAAAAAACAACTTTTTATTTGGCTTTGAGTTAAAGTTTCCAATTATTCATACACATTTCGTTCCATAACATTAATTCCAATGTACAAAGCGCCCATTCCATATTGTCCTTCCCACTTCCCTTCACCATCTCAGTAGGTGCTTAATATCCATTCCTTTTCTCCCTCTCTGGTAGCCATACAAGAATGGTCTCATCTGTATGAAAACCTCTCCCTAGATTGTCACAATTGTACCCTTATACTTATCCTCTGTGACCAACTTATTTCACTTAGCAAAATGACTTCTAGATTGTTTCCAAGTTACACAGTGTTTCACAAATCTTATTTTTCAGTGTTGCAAAATTTAACAATGTGTGAATGTACGGGAGTGCACAGATTTTTATTTTATATGGCTTAACTATAAGTTTTATATGGCAGTATTTTCTATAAATGTTAAAAAATATCTATCATAGACCCTATGTCTATTGCTTGTTTTTATGTGAAGTTGAGTCACCTATTACTCATAGCAACCCTATGTACAACAGCCCTAAACCTTGCTCTATCCCTTGCCAATCTTAATGTCTCTGACAGACCTATCCACATTACCCCAGTGACTGAATCAATCCATCTCACTGAGGGTCTTCCTCTCTTGCGCTGTCCCTCTCCAAAGACTGATACCACCTTGTAACATGTCCAAAGTATGTCAGATGAAGCTTCATAGAATCTTTGCCTCTAAGGAGCAGCCTGACATCACCCTCTTCAGGATGAACTTGTTTGTTCTCCAAGCAGTCCATGGTATATTTAACACTCCTCTACAGCACCACAGCTCAAAAGCATCAATTCTTCTATCAACCCTAGTCATTGTCCAGCTTTCTGATGCATAGTAAGTAATTCCAAAGACTATTTAATTTTTTAAAATTTTTTATTGCTTTTACCTTTTTAGTATTTTACATTTGTTTTGTGAATATTAATATTCTTCACATCCATAACCTTTTGAGTGGTTTTTAAAAATTTAATTTTAGATAAATTCAAAAGGTCAAAGGATAAAATGATATTTTCAATCTTTATTACATAATTACAGACTGGTGCAGTTTGAAATGTCAATAGTTATACAAATATTTCTGTTTACTCAAAATTCTGAAATGCAGGGCGAGGCAGCGCAAGGGCGAGGCCGCCAGCCGGGGGAACGCACGCCGCCGCCAGAAGGAGGAACGCCACCGCCAGACCGGGGAACGCCGCCGCCAGACGGGGGAACGCCGCCAGAGGGACCCGGAAGAGACCCGGGAAGAACAACAGCCAGCCACCTACTGCGGAACTCCAGAGGAG